TGCCATTTTTGTTTTGTTAGTTAAAGCACTAGCGTTAGCAGCAGGTAAAGGTAATGGGTAAGTGTTACCTGACCTTAGTTGTCTGCTGTGTAAGTCCTCGAGGAAGAGAATCTATGCAATTTTCACAGATAGCTAAGGAGTCTGTAGGTGTTAACTATGTTTGGCTAATTTGTGGTAATTCTTCACTATCAGTTGCCACTAGCTCCTGTAAATTTGCAGATGACTGACTATAAGAGTCTGAGTCACTAATTTCCTATTTGAAACCCATTTTTTTTGGAAAAGGGTCCAAAAATAGGGATATTCATCACTTCACTTGCAGCATAACACTCACTAAGTTGCCTACTCAAGGAGTAATGCAAAAATATTTTTAATGAGTTATGGAAATGAAGAGAAAGAAAATTTAAACTATTAAAAACTTTTACAAAGTATGAAAAGTACATATACTTTTTGCAAGTCCCCTCTTACTTTATAAATGTGTTTATTTAGTTTTGCTTTTAGGCCGTTGTGCATATAGTTTATTTTATATTGACTATGTATGAAGACTTCTTGAAGTTCACTTGTGTTTGTGTAAAATAATGATTGTTTGTGATCTACCTGACGGGAGAGGCGGTAGAGTTTCAACGCTGGGTGGTGACGTCAGAAGTCGATGACATCCTACTCTGGGAACGATGATATCACACGTCTTGCGGCGATCATCCTGGGGGCTGACCTTTCTTGTGGTGATCAACCTGGGGCTGACCTTTCTTGAAGCGATCAACCTGAGGGCTGACCTTTCTTGTGGACTGGAGAGGCTTGATTGTTTAAGCAAGAGGTTGCTTGCTTGTCTGGAACCGTGATGACAACCTTCCAAGTAGTCCTGTATTGTAGTGCTGGCTGCTGGTTGGCTGGCTGTCTGGTTGGCTGGCCATTAGCTGGCTGCTCCAGTTTAGTGGCCATGAGCTGTGAGCTGGAGCTCGTGGTTTGGCTGTTACGTCGGCAAGTCTTTATATTGTCTTTGTTACCACTGGGTTTCTTTGTATACGTTTATTAAGTTTTTATAACCACTGTCCACTTATTTTACTTGAAAACACTTGCTTGTTGATGATTCACTTAAAGTGCCACTTGTTTCACTTGGGTCACTTGGGTTACTTGGTTTCTAGGTACTGCACTAGGTTTTAGTATTCAACCCACCGCTGCCACCAAATGTGACAACTGTTTTGGTATCACAGTAATTGTTTTAATTAAGTTCTGGAACTCTTTAAGTGGCAGGGCTTGATGTAAACACTTCTTGCTGTTTTTCTTTTATTGTCAAAGCAGCTATATACACAGTTATAATCTGAGAGAATGAATTATGAATTCACTCCAGGGAAGTGTTGTGAATGAACTTTTAGAGAACACTTGAATGATGTGCTCTTCCCTGATCAAGTGGTGTGGTTCTACTCCCTCCTCTGAGCGTGAGAGAGACATTAGAGTCTCAGTGGGTTGTTTGATTACTCAGCTGACCTGCGCTCGACCTCTGAGATAGTTACAAGCTCAGCCGTCTATTATCATCAACAGGTTGAGTCATTGTTGAATAACTTAGTGAATAAGTTGGTGTTATTCACTTGGGTGAATATTTACATAAATCAAAGGTGCTTTTACACCTTAACTCCGAGCAAAAGTTTGTTTGCTCTGACAGGTCTCTGAACTTGTGACGTCTTCAACCTTTGAGCTGTGATCCCTAGTGGGCTCGCATTCGCCAGTTCTAGGTTTGACTACTCGATTATATCCTCTTAGATATTTATTAACTACTATTAATTTTCTCCTTGCCTGCCTATGCTAAAAGCTAGGCAACTGCAGGCGTTTAATCTCTCTGGGTACCTGAGGTGCCATAGTCAAGGCACCAGTTCATGGGTCCAGCACCTTAATGGTTCACATGATACATATTCCTCGTAACTGAAGACGTAACAAATATGTCTTACTGGTTTGTTTAAGAAATTCCGTCGCAATTATACCGAGAACACATTAATTCGTTACATCCACTACCACAAAATACAACATTCTAAAGGTTCTGTATCTTAATATCGTCTCGGATTAAGTGTTAAGGAAGTTATCTATTGGTGTAATTTGGATGCTATTTTCTGAAGTAATTTTGTATCAGCTTAAGTTAAGGAGTTGGTTTTCAGTTTCGAGGAAAATTCAACGTATTAATCTTTAAGGGAATGTCGTTTCCAAAGTAACTTCGTAAAATTACCTCCAGGCTTGAGAAGTAGCTTAGTGTTTTTACATGTTATTTTGCAGTGAAAATAGCTTACAATACTTAGTATGGTATCAGGACAACTGCCCCCATAGGACAATTGCCTCCCATTGCCAGTGATTAACTGGCATAAAACATGGAACTAATTAAATGGAGAGGAGAAAATAGCTCAGAATTAATACTTTATTTTCATGTTTTATTTATTGGTTATGTACACGGCGATTCTCTAAGTCTTGTATGATGGTTGCTATTCTGGCTGTTGAATCATGATAACGTTTCCTCTTAGGTGGTGCTGGATCTCCTGTAATAATCTGGTTGATGTTGACGTTGGTTAGGTTAGGTTAGGTTAGGTTAGGTTAGGTTAGGTTGGTTAAGTTAGGTTAGGTTAGGTTAGGTTCGGTTAGGTTAGGTTAGCTGTACATAAGATTCACTCCAGTAATGGGGGGCAATTGTCCCATGGGGGGACAATTCTCCTATGGGGGCAATTGTCCAGGGGGCAGTTGTTGGGGGGCAATTGTCTGGGGACAATTGTCCAGGGGGCAGTTGTTCTAGAACCACTTAGTATACTGTAAAGTCTATTATTCTTTTGGGTGAAATCTGATGTTGAAATGCGATAAAGAGATAAAGAGAGAGAGAGAGAGAGAGAGAGAGAGAGAGAGAGAGAGAGAGAGAGAGAGAGAGAGAAATGTACGGAGTCAACCAGCAGCTGATTAGACCCAGAGGTAGGTTAGGTTAGATTAGGTTAGATTATTGTTGTTTTACTGTACTTCAACATCATAATTATCCAAGCGCGTAACAAGGTGAGTAATACATTATTCTAACAACTTTTATGAGATATAACTCTCTGATATATTAGGTTGGGGTAGTTTAGGGTAGGTTAGGTGAGGTTAAGTTGGCTCAATTTTAGCTTAGATTACGTTAGATAACATTAGTTCAGGTTAGTTTAAAAAAGCCTCTGTCTATCTGAAATAAAGCCTATTCTATTGGAGACTGAGGATGTATTACAATCTAATATACTATAGCGCTAGGCGCTCGCGCACGTGTGTGTGTGTGTGTCTGGGCAGCCAAAACGGAACAATCGTTTTTCATCAGACTTGGTGGAAAAATCGCAAAAAATTCGTACAGTGGAGCAAACCTGGTACGATATTGATGGTTTCTTTAGGAAGCCATTACATAACCATTTTATTTATGCTGGAAAACGATGCAAGTCTACGGATTTGGCGCACCCTCATTCGCTGGTCACTGTCAGCCCACGATTGCAGTTATCTACGGCTCCCTCCTCCTCCCCCCACTTTTTTACTTAGCCAACTTTTGCTTTTATGTTTTTTGGATTAGTAAAGGAAGGAAGATGAGTAAATATAAGAATAAAGAAGGGGGAAACAGAAAATGCTTAAAGATAACAGGTGGGGAGCTGAGTTTCATCATGTGTCTGGATGCACAGTTTCAATGTTACCAGACGACCTTACAGCTACAGTATATACTTATTCCTGTGGGTGACTGTACATTAGAAAAGGAGAAGAGATAAAAAGATAATAACAGGAATGCATGGAGAAAATGACTACAATAGACACAGGGTGAATATAGACAGTGAAACAGACAGGAGGTTGACAAAAATAGACAGATTCATACATGCACAAATAGACAATATGGCAACTAACATGACAGACAGACAGCCGACTGACTGGTTCACATTAGTACAGACGGGCTTACATTCAAACACCACGCAGACGAACAGACAGTTGGGATGGCAATAGACAGGACGGATAGACTTGAGACAGATTAGAAGGCCTTTATAAACAAGAATAACACCAAATTGACCATAACTGCGTCAGTAAGGGTAGGAGATCTTACATCCACCAGCATAAATAATAAAACGCAGTGAAAACTAACTCCCACGTGCGGAAAGAACATCTATGGTCGGTCAGTCATGTGAGATGGGCCTAAACTGACTAACGTAGATGATGACTATGATAACTTAACACAGGTGATGACTTAAGCAGATGGTGAATAATCTAACCAGAATCAAGGTCACATCTCTTCATAATATAATTTATCTCGGAATGATCATCGGCAATTCATAATAATTTTTTTTTATGATTTTAACCTCTCCTTATGGCGACTATTTATTTAACTAATTATTCTAACCTTTTTTCTATTCCCTCTTATAGTATATTAGATACTGTAAGTCTTACGACGATGACCATGATTATAACAACCACGACCATGATTAAAACAACCACGACTATGATTATAACAAGCACGACCATGAATATAACAACCACGACCATGATTATAACACTCACGAATATGATTATGACAACCACGACTATGATTATAACAACCGCGACCTTGACTATAGCAAACACGAATATGATTATAACAACCACGACCATGATTATAACAACCACGACTATGATTATAACAACCACGACCATGATTATAACAGCTATGACCATGATTATAACAAGCACGACCATGATTATAACAACCTCGGTAAACTGTACCACCGGACTCGCCACCGGGAACGAAGTGCCCACGATCACTTGTGAGACCTATTACAGTATATAAACCATATACAATTAAACCTATGACAATGAGACCTATTAAAATACAACCAATTGCAATTGAACCTAAACATTAAACTAATTAGGTATTAAATATATTACAATGTATCATATTGCAATGGAGCCTCTTACAACGATCGGGTATAATTATTACAATGGCATGATTCAATGGAACAAGTATTTCAATGGGACCTATTATAATATTGTGTTATTCCCTTCAGAGTGACAATCAGTTCATTGGTTACCCAGACACATTACGCTTCATGATGGGAGATGGTATACCTACCTTACCAAACACTGCTCTCTTCTCCTCCACCATCCTGTGCCCAGACGCTGCCGTGACTCGGTCTACTCTATACTATACTTCAGTATTGTGTCTGTACCCAGTAAGTTTTCCATCTAGTAGTGTCTATACCTTGAAAGTTTACCTTGTAAAAATATATTTACTTCATAATTTTGCCTTGCAGTAGTGTATTAACTTTATAAGTTTGCCTTGTACCTTTACCTTGGCATTGTTAGTTAAGTAGTCCAACCCCTATTGCTCATATATCCATCAAATGAAACACTGCTTCTAACTCTTATTGTACATTGGGACATTGCTTCTACCTTCTTATTATACATTGGAACACTACTTCTACCTTCTTATTATACAATGGGACAACTTCTACCTTCTTATTATACACTGGGACACTATTTCTACCTTCTTATTATACATTGGGACAGTACTCTTACCTCCCTATTATACATTTAGACATTACTTTTACCTTCTTATTATACATTGGGACACTACTCTTACCTTCCTATTATACATTGGAACATTACTTTTACCTTCTTATTATACATTGGGACACTACTTCTACCTTCTTAGTATACATTGGGACATTACTTCTACCTTCCTATTATACATTGGAACACTACTTCTACCTTCCTATTATACATTGGAACACTACTTCTACCAAACCTAACCTAACATAACATGTTACACATAACTAAAGTTAACTTTTGTGTCTGTTTCCCTGTAGGTGGCCATGACTTCTGTTAACACTCACGCTCCGTTTTTCGTGACGATTCGGACACAGATCGACGCGTTCGACAACTGGAACACTCTCGTCAATGACTATTCAGGCTTTGACTTCGACTGGACAGCCAACAATTGTTCGTGAAAGATACCATCTTAACCGAAGCCAACCTAATCTAAATCACCTTTAAGGAAACTAATTTAAACATATTTAACCGAATCTAAATTAACTTAAAACATTTTAAACGATTCATTATGCGTATTTTGTAGGGTCAAGTACTCTTGGTAACATTTTTTTGTCCATGATAATATTATTTTGATAATATTGGGCTGCCAAGTGTCCTATTATTTGTGCAAAAATTTTCTTATGTTGTGTTTCGATTGTGGAAAATATATATATATATATATATATATATATATATATATATATATATATATATATATATATATATATATATATATATATATATATATATATATATATATATATATATATATATATATATATATATATATATATATATATATATATATATATATATATATAATCATTTCAGCTCTTATATATCTACTGTTTATATAAATGATTTGAGAATTCGTTGTTTAATTTACATTCTATAATTATTTAATCAATCAAGGTACCGTCCAGATGTCGAAGGATTGGTGACCTCAGCCCTCAACTCTCAACATTTTCGGGCTGCCTTTACCAGTCATCCTTGACTTACTCTGGGAACCACAGCTTTTAACTTCATTCACCCATCTAAGCTTCCACTTTCCCCTCGACTTCCTCCCATGATTTTCACCAATTAATATCTCTCACTATCATCTCATTTCTATTTATCTGGATGAAATATCCCATTGTTTTTTTTTTTGGTATAAAGTTCCAGTATTTCCCTCGTTGATGTAGTCACAGTTGTTGTTAAGCTCCTGTATATATTTTCGTCTTTTGTTTACACTTTGGAGGAATATGACACATCTCATACCGCACAGTTCAGTGGACATAACCGCGATCCAACGCATACAACACATTCTGGCAGATACATGAGACATCCCTTAAATCGAATGAATACAGGTATTGATGAAACGGCCATCATAACACAATACACGTTACTGGGCACCCTGTATACATCCTAGTCTTACTTCACAAAATATAAACTTACTTAACCTAACCTAACGCTACTGGACATCATATATACATTCTAACCTAATGTAACCTGACCCAACCTAACTCAACCTAACCTAACCTAACTTAACCCTCCCTACCTTTACCTAACCAAGTCAGAGCGCACCCACCTTCATAGCGAGCGGACGTGCCATGCGTCGTTCCCTGCTCAGTTCAAATCGCTGACCGTTACGACTGTCTGCCTTGTTTTTCGCGTTGGGTCCGTTCTAACTGCTTTATCATGTAGTTGTACATGGATATCATTATTCTTGTACACTGCGCTTCTTCCCTATCCTATCCTTTCGCCTAGAGTCCCTGCTGTTTGGTAACGACGCGAACCCTGCGGGCAGAGCCTCAAGGGGGGCCCTCAGAGGGCTGCTGAGTCGAGACAGTAAGGGTGGCAACATTTTCTGTTAGGGATTCGACAGTGCTTCATAACCTGTCACTGCTAGGTGTTAGGGCTTGGCTAGGCCCCCGCCAGGGGATTGTCTGTTCACCCTACTCCTAGACCCGTCTTTACTCGCCCAGCAAGCGGACAGAAGGAGCGGCATCCATGGGGTTTAGCTGAGGTGGACAGATTATGTAGAATTTTCATTCATTCATTCATGTATGTTACTGACCATGGCCAAAGTGAGAGTGAAGATCTCCAGAACCCCGACCCAGGGGTCTCGGATAGGGCTAAAAAGGCTATTGAGCGACCTAAGGGTGAGAATAAATAGACTTGTGGATCTGAGAGATGGTTACATCATCCTCACAGAAACAGATGAAGATGCTGATAAACTACTTAAGTCTAGTGCCATGAACAAAATGAAAACCAACGGTTACGAGGTCATTGTCCCACGGGAATACGGCGCCAAACTCACCCTTGTATGTAAGAAGTTAGACAAAGATGTAGTGGAAAATAACGCAGAAGAAATAAGAGATGAAATACAAAAGCAAAACAATGTCAAGGTTGTGGAGGTGTATCCTATGTATGCCCATAATATAATCAAGGTTCGCTTTGCAGACACAACGGATGCAAAAAGAATGAAGGAGAAGGGGCTCTATGCATATGGCACTTCCATCTCATCCCACCAAATAGAATATGAAAAGTATACGCCCATCCAACAATGTATGAAGTGCTATAAATACAATGACCACATGACCAAGAACTGCTCCATGCAAGGGGTCATATGCTCTGAGTGTTCATCTGATCAGCACTTCTACAAAGACTGCCGTAGCACCATTAAAAAGTGTGTCGTCTGCGAGGGTGACCACAGGACCTTCTCTGCCACCTGCCTGGTCAGGAAACAGGTACTTCAAGAAACAGAGAAGAAACTGACCGAAATAACCAAACAAAAAGAAACCAGGGAAATTTCTAACACCATAGAAAGGACCACTCAGTCGACGATAATGGCTTACAGCCAAACCCTAAAAGACGCTCTAAAAGAAACTCAAGCAGACTCCCAAAAGCTCAACAATGTCAGCGAGACCATGGAAGTCCTGCAATCAGAGATAAGAACCATCAAGGACTCAATAAAACAGGCAGTTACTGAGTCACTGGGCGCCATGAGGGACGCAGTGGCCGAGAGCATCAGGAGCGTCTCCTCTCCACAGCTGGACGAGTCCAAAGCCACCACTAAATACTTGTCTTACCTGCATGCCCATCACATGAACATGGTTCATCCAGGTTCATTCTCGAAACACCTCAACGAGACACTAACCAGGAATAACATTGCACCTGTTGAAATAAGCGACAAAGTCCCTTCAAAAGAAATCCTTAAGGCAATAACCCACTCAACGACTTATCGACGACCTCAACCCACGCCAGAAATAGACCATGACCTCCTTGACTTAGGCAAAAGTCAGTATAACCGCAATCCCGACGTGGCCAGTCAGTCCCCCTGGGATCACAGCTCCAACGACACCGTAAATGCCCGCGATCCCATTACATGCACTCCCAGCGACGACAGTGACCATCGGACTGCAACCACAGTCAATGGTTGCGACCAGATGATGACGACTCACTCCACAGAGGAACAAGACCCTCGAGCTGCAGCGTCAGTTGATTACTACGACACGCAGGCCCAGGACCTGAACACCTTCCTGTACACGGGTGACGAGAAGTTCGAGGGCCCGCCATTGACTGACAAGCAGATGTCCGAAGGTTCTGCTAAGAAGTTCCGTCCCACTAGAAATGGCAGAAGCCGAGCAAACACTCCAAGCGACGCCCCAAGCTACAGTCCCCGAAATGGCAGTCGTTAGCAGGATGAAAATTGTCCAACATAATGTCCCACACTGGTCCCTTAATAGACGTAATGAACTGTCTAACTTATACTATCAATTAGACCCAGACATCATTCTGTTAAACAGTACGGGCATAAAGGACGAAAGTAAGCTGAAAATTTTTGGCTACACTGTATACCAGAGGAACATGACGGGTGAGCTGAACGATGGTGTCGCTGTGGCCGTCAGGTCACGTCTGAGTCACAGAGTGTTGCCAGACTTCGAGGATTCAGTTTGGGAGTGCAGGTGGAGACAACTAGGGGATCTGTTATCATACGCACAATGTACCTACCTCCCAGACGTCCTTACTTACCCGAACAAGACCTAAACCAGTTGCTACGCCACAGAAAACCAACATACATCATAGGGGACTTAAATGCGCGCCACGCCATACTAGGACACGGTAATGAGAACAACGTCGGTGTGGCGCTGTATGACAACATCAGAAGGGGAAAACTGCAACACCTCGGACCAGATTTCCCGACATTGATCAGACGTGCCAGTGCCACAACACCCGACATAATCCTCTCTAACAACGAGGCCGTCCTGAACAGGCACGTTACCGACGGACCCATCAGTACCAGCGATCACCTGCCAGTCGTCGTGACGCTCTCATCCAATCCCATTATGATCCCCGCCAACATCAGGTCAAACCTCAAACGGGCAGATTGGGACTCCTTCAAGGAGTCTCTCAGTCTCAAGCAGGGGAGAAACCTGGAAGAAGCCAGCCCCAATGACATCGACGACGCGGTCGAACAATGGTATAAGGATGTGAAGACGAAGATGGACAAGAACATCCCGACCACTAGTTACAGGACCATTCCCCATCCTCACACTAGTCACCAGCTGAGGCAGCTCAGTGTCCAGTACGATCACGTGAGACAGCTAGCTAGTATCCGCGGGTGGACGCAGGAGCTGAGAGACCGGTACCGATTGCTACAGACGGACATCCAGCACGAGAGCAAACGTCTACATGAACAAAAGTGGGCCGCCTTGGTGTGGGAGGCAGCCAACAATTACCGCGATTCTGCTGCATTCTGGAAAGGGATCAAGCGACTAATGGGTTCCACTTCTAGCACGGTCCCTTACCTGCTCGACCAAAACAACGTAAAAATATTCGAGGAAGAAAACCAAGAACAACTACATCGGCGATATTTACGAAAGATCTTTACCATTAGTGAACAGGAGAACGAGGGCTTCGACAGGGAGTTTGAGGAAGACATTTTAGGTCAGCTGCAGGACCATCAGCACCTGCTCCAGCCGCTCCCACGGACTGACTTCACCAGACTGGTGGACGGAAGTTACCTGACGGAACGCATAGTTCCTGCAGATATGTCAGCCGTCATAAAAGGGTTTAAAAACAAATCACCTGGTCAAAGTCACATTAACAAGAAGATCCTTGCTCAACTCCCCGACAACATGATAGATAGGCTTGCTCATATATGCAACGCCTGCCTCGCCTCTGGATACTTCCCTAAGATGTTTAAAATCGCCGTTATCCGCCTCATACCAAAAGCAGGAAAGCCTCCAAACAAAGTCGAAAACTTTCGACCAATATCGCTGCTAGAGGTACCTGCCAAAATCTTCGAAAAAATAGTCAACAAGCGATTGCGGATGTATCTGGAGGACGAAGACGTGCATAATCCCCGCCAGTTTGGCTTCCGCCAGTACCGAGGCACATCCACCGCCATAGCTCAGGCCTACGAGCAGATCGCCAATGCCATGACAGGCCGCCTGCAGTGCAATATAGTACTGAGGGACATCAGCAAGGCGTTTGACAAAGTTTGGCACGCAGGGCTGCAGTATAAGATCATACAACTGGGGCTACCCGAAAATCTGACTCGCCTGCTGTGCAACTTCATTATGGACCGCAGAGCCAAAATCAAGATGCAAGAACATTTTGGAGAAGAATTCTCACTATCGAGCGGCGTGCCTCAGGGCTCT